TTCTTTCAAAAGGTGAGAAAAAGTGTATCAAGTTTTCTTTAGTCTTCGATATCTATAAGTAGTACGCGTACTCTGCCATAATTAAAATCTCATTTACATATAATAGAATTAAATCTTTTTCTTATCTGTATAATACTTTCGCTGATACGATGTCATAGACTTGGCAGAAATTAATTTTGAAAGCAAATATCCTGATATTATAATTTCGAAGAAGGTTTACATATGTTTAAAATTGATGAGATTACATTTATGATTTGTACAAAATCATAAAATGGATAGGAATCATTTTCTGGTTGGAATGTATTGATTGCAGAACAATCTACATTACTGCTACCATTTTCCAGAAAATATCTTAATAATTCCTCGGAAGAGAGTGTTTTGGTCATACCTTAAGATCTCTGGCAAGAGAATCAGTGGAGTTTGTATTTGTACGGATGCAACCGATGGAAATAGCGTACCGATGATCGGTCAAGATTTGCACATTTTGCTGGCTGAATTGCAAGGCGAAACCGACCTATAAATACACGTTTCAACTACCACTTAAGATTCCTAGAATGTTCTTTCTCTCTCTTTCTCTCTCTGTCTCTCCCGCTTGTTTCCAGTTGTTTGGTACGATAAATCGAGAGAGAGGAACAGGAAGCACGAGGAAACTGTTCTCCAGAAACAATAGCAACGCGGCTTGACGTAAAAGCTCCCCACGAGAGAATTAAGCGAGGAAACTCGCCGAGATTAATAGATGATCCGCATAATTGGACGCAGCTATGAAAATTTTACCGTGCAAACTAATATTTCCTTCGAAAATCCGTTGAAATTGAACATGCATCGTTTCATCTCAGTTTTCTCAATGTGATGAGCAATTATTATGCGAATAATTTAGACAAATAATTTAGGAAGGAAAATTTTTTGTTAAATATTTTTCTTAATAATTTCTTCGACATAACAACAACATTTTATAATCGTAAATGATGGAATCAGCCTATACATTTCGCTTCTTTTTTAATTGAATTTACTAATTTTTTCGTAAAACAAAGAATAGAAGATTATTTATTGATATAATATAATATAGGGATTGATCAGCGTGCGAAAATTCATTCTTCCGTTGACGATTTTCTTACACCGAATTTTCTTTTCTATCAGAATACTTATCTCGGGTTAACGACAGATTAATCGTCTGGAACGCGTTTCAGAAATCACGATTTAATCCAAAAACATAACATAAATGTAAATAAAAGATCATCACGACCGGAAAACTTGTACGCATTTTACGCTTGATAAAACTTATTCGATATTTCATCGTGTCAAACCGCATGAATCAAAAATTATACTCTAATAATTTATAGCATTTCCATTAAGCGAGATATTCCGATACAGCGTCAACTCAAAGCACTTTGGAAAACGTTTAAAAAAACAAATCTATTTTTACTTTCGTCGTCAACGAATCAACGAGACCTAGACTTGTTTCCCCTAAATTATCCTTCCCCTTTGAGATATAATCGAGACATAATTCGTCACAATGAATAGATAGAGTGTCCAAGGAACACGATGCGTTCCTATCTCTCAAAAAGAAAACACTCGTGTAACATCGACTCAGAATTGGAGCTCGTGCCAAACGAGCTCTCCGTTTATCGTTATTTATCGCGCGTACTGTTGCTCGTAAACACGGCGACTACATTCCATCGATGGACCACTCCACCTCGCGGGATCCTCTTTCCGCGTCTAACACGTTCTAGGTTGAAAAATCCTTGGCTTTATGTCGAATTCAAGCGAACGTCCACCGCTCGTAAAACCGAGAAGATTACACGCGTGATTTTTAGCCGGGGCGAAAAATGACAAGGAGATCGATTAATATCGAGTTTTATGGGGTTTCTTACCAGTTGTAAATCTGTTTGATTTATAGATCGATCAGTGGGATCGAAATGAAGGAGCGATCGGAATTTTTACGGTTGCCAATTAGCCAGTCGGTCGGCCGGAAGAGACGACCCGATTGTAATTTCTGATCCGCCGCCCGATCTCGAGGAGAGCCGGCGAGCTTCCGGGATTACGATCCCCGCTTGGGTTGACAGGGACGTCATAGAGAGATACGCCGCTCGAGATAGGAGGAGGATACGAGCTGTAGAACTAGCTGTAAATTAACCACACACCACGGACCCGGGTGCATTCGTCGTCGCTTCGTGTTCGCTTCGTCCTCCTCGGTGAGTATGCGTGTACGTGAGTGTGTGTGTGTGTGTGTGTGTGTGTTGCGCTCGTGTATCGAGCACGATGGCAAGAGAGTGCGTCACGATTTCAGATATACTCTGGTACGCATGCACACGCGTGCATCCATGTATCTACCGCTCGTGTAACTTTTTCCCTCGGCAAGATTTGTATCGTTTCATCGATATCTATGCGAAGAAGTATTTAATGTAATTAAATACTTTTTTGTGAACTACTGACATTTTCTTTTCTTTATTTCTTTTTTTTTAAAGCTATTTTTCGTGTTACTCTTCGCTTCTCTTATTTGATATTTTTTTTTAATTTAAAAAAAAAGAATCTCTGATATAATAGAATCTCGATTTTCTCTTTCGATATCTGTCGCGCGTATATCTGTCACATCTGTCATATCGTTCAAGTAAGCTTCAATTCTTGTCACTGTTATTCACCCCTATACTATTTCATTCGTTTTATACCCAGGCAATAACTTGAGAATTTATCGTTTTCAAATTATCACAAAATCATTTATACCTCTCTTCTAATTTCCTGGATTGTAAATCAGTCGGTACTATAATTTCCAAGTATAGTACTTTAACAACTTAAATGAACCGATATCCAAGACAGCAATTACTCGAGCGGTTCGTTAAATGCTTACACAGCCGCTAACGTAAACCTTCCAGATGCTAATGATTCAATTTCTCAACGCGTATCCACACTTTCACACCTATCTTACACGCGTATGCTCGTTTTAATTACTGATCTCCTTTGCACACGTTTATCTTTTCTTGATTACAATTTAGGCATTCGCACGCATCGATGGATCTTCTTGTAGATCTCGTTCTCGATCTATTTCCCTATCTACGGCGCATGCAAACCAAACGCTCAATCCTCCGTAACATTGTGGTTAATGTCCCGTTTGATAGCTCGACCAATCGATCAAGAGATCAAGGCCAACGCTACCTACGATCGGACAACGATCGATATGTTTCCATGATCCACTTATTACGCCATCTTTCGCGCTCATAACCCGCTAATAATTACTTAATTATTACCCAATCGTTCGCATCCTTTTACCTCGCAGATTTATGTACGTTCTATCTCTAAGTTGTTATTAACACGGCCATTAAACCAATATTGAGCAAAATCTTTTTTCCACGTGTGTGATGTAAGATGCAAGATGTATGATTGATTAACACAGATATTATTTTCATGTAAATATAATCTTTCATCCTTAAATAACTTTTCTCATCAACTTGTTTCTTTTTTATATATTTTGGAAATAAGATTGAACGCAATGTTTCTGATATTGAATTATGAATAGAATTTTCGAAACCCAGATTGGTTAATTAATGGGAAGCTATTGATAATATATTTTTCCTCGAAACTTATCCTTAAGTTTCTAAGTGGTGTCTTAATCTTGATCTCACGAAGAAAGAAAGAATCTCAATCTTCTTCGATCATAATTATTCGATCGAATGATTCTCGCGTGTCATTCAGAAATCCTCACAATCGTCCTTCGCGAATTCTAGGTTCTTTCTAGGAAATTAAGATGAATTTCGGTGAAAGCAACGCGTAAGAAATCACTTAAAAATGACGAGGGTTCTCACTGAAAGCGACGACAGGGGAAGATCGGTGGGTGCAACGATCTCGATTCGTATCGATCAACGAGAGTAAAGATGGCCGTGGTATCTCGACGAAAACGGTAATTATTATTTACGCGAAACGATCGTAGCTTCTTGAAAGATCGAAAAGCCAAGGGAAACGGATAATAGATAAACGAGATACGCGGTGTTTCACGGTCGATGATTCCGCCTCTAATCGATTATGTTATTTTTCATCGTTTCCCTCTCTTCCTCTCTCTCTCTCTCTCTTCTCGTGATCGAACAGTTTTCATATCGGTTGAGAGGATCGCGGAGAAAACGCGGGACGAACGATTATTCCTGATTTCCCGTAAATGAAGGGGCTTCGTTAATGCGAGAAATAATCGATTCGATCGATCGATCCGTCTCTTCTACCCTGTATTATAATCCATCGTATAATTGTTTCCTTCTTTAAATGATTCTTTTGTGGATCGATTTTCGATCATTCCTGTTAATTACGAGGATTAACCTCTTGCCTTGTATGCAATTGCTATTATATGCATTTGCGAAAGAGCTTTAATCCTAACTATATGGTAAGATTGTAATAAAAGTTTGAAAAGTGTTGTATCAATTCTGTAATTGTATTTTTTGATCTTTGTCAATCTCTATCGAATAAAGAATATTTTGAAATCCGATATTATTTTTAATTCAATTTTCATCCAAAGTAATCGATTCAAAGGTTATCATCAATGATGTTTCAAACTATTTATAATAATATAACATTTTTATATTTATATTTACGAGATATATGCTGAAAAAATACGAATTCCAAGAAATAATTATTTAAAAAGGACAGAAACCTAGATTTCCTCTCCCCGTAAAAGATGACAGATAACCGTATCCTCGAAAGGACACTTGGCTTGCGAAAGGAAAGTTGCACAACACGTGCACCACCAAGCGCAACGATCATCATCTCTCTGTTCGAAAAACATTGAAGCGTGGAGGATCGACGTAAAACTCCGCCGAGAGAGGGAAAAAACAAGCGTTCTCGGAGGGAATACAACGGTCAGAGTTCTCGGTGGCCGGCGCGAGACGACAAAAAGAAAAATAAAAAGAGGAAAGGCCGATGCACAAAGTTTGCAGCGTGCACCGTTGATCGCTCTTGCTCGCCGCCGCCGAGCAACCGTCCCCTTAAGCAACTAGAGCGAAGTAATAAAAATAATCACTTACAATCTAATCTTCCAGTCCATCCTCGTGGCAGCCATGACGCGCTGCTCGGCTCTACGGACCTGCACGACCTTCGTTCGCCCTCCTAGCTTCTCGAGCCAGTCCCTGGAAACTCACTGGAACAGGGTCTCTCACGAATCACCAGTGCACTCTGTCTTCCCTCTCGTCGAAAACGAAAGCGCGGTTAACGTAATATTACGCGTGTTCGCGCACGTGTATAGTTACGTGTGTATATATATGTGTGTGTGTGTGTGTGTATACGAAATATGCTCGTCGGTGGCCGCGCTTGAACCCGTTCACCACCGGTCTCTTCGTGTGTAGCCGCGCCACGAACGGTCCGTTTCCACTGTCTGCCCGCGATAGACGATCCACTTCCACTGTAACGGAAGGAAAAGAACACCTGACGTCCAACCGTTTCGAATTTTTATCTTTTTCTTTTTTTTTCTCTCTCTCTCTCCTCCAATCTTGGGGAAGATGGAAATTCGATTAAGTTAAAGGTACGCGCACGAGAATTGGGTTGTACGTAAAATAAAGGCACGATTTGGAGGAAGGATCGTGAGATGAGAGAACGGGCTTCCTGCGCGCGATCCACGAAAATGGAGCAACGTGCGTTCTGTGCCACTGTTCTCCGTTCTCCGTAACACTCTGCCAGGATATCCGCGCGTGGCTGCTCGTCTTCCACGGCCGCGAAAGGTGGGAAGATGAGGAGGAGGAGGACGAAGAGTAGTAGAAATAGAAGAGGTTACCGAGGTGGAGGCGGTTGATGGTGGTAGTGGTGGTGGTGGTGGTGGTGGTGGTGGTTGGTGTGCTGGTGACGGGTTGGCTTGGTGAAGGTAGAAAGAAGAGTGGAGCGATGGTGTGGAAGTGGTGACGACGGTGGTGGAGACGATGATGGTAGTGGTGATGATGGTGATGGTGGAGGTGGTGTGGTGATGGTGGTGGTGAAGGTGGAGGTGGGTACTCGTGAGAGGATCCTCGCCGTGTGGAGTACTAAGGAGTAATGACATGGTCTAGGAGATGCCAGTCAGTTTTGTAATAACGCCTGTAAAAAGTGAATTTACAGGAGGAACAAGGTGGGGAAACGTGGCTGAGTCCAATCCTGGTATCCCTCGGGTTCGACACCTTGGCCAATAGGAGCGCGCCAATTCTTCGTCTTCGTATTTTTTCCGGAATTTTTTCCACTCGTCCTCGACGAGAACACCTTCTCGTAGATACTTTTTTGATTTCGCCGTTGGTTTGGGTGGCGACGCCTTTTGATGCCGGGAACGGATCGGAACAGAATCGAGCATTTCGAATCGATTATCGTTTCGAGAGAATTCCTAGAACGAGCCGCAAGAAATCGTGGATGGTGGATCTTTTTACGAGAATTTTAAATCCGAGACAAGGGATAAGGCGGTCGGTAAATATCGAACAAAGGGTGGATTGTCAGTAAAGATGGGAATCAGGCGTCGTTCGAAAGGCGAAATCGTACGTGTCGATACGCGATGGCGCAGGCTGCGCTGTCATTACGGTGCATTATTCATGCATCACCAGCCACCCGGTACATTTAACGGTGAACAATATCGTGAAGGATATGTCAATAAGGTGGTACCGCTGTTAAAAAATAATCTGCCACGAGGACAGTCCGGTGACGAGAAAATATGATTTGCCTCGTAATAACCTCGGCCGTCGATGGATCACGACGATAACTTATTCTTTATTGCATAACAGTAACTTACTTCTTTCTGTCACGATGGATACCGCTCCACGCTTCTCCTTAATCCTTATTACTTCATTTATCACGAGGAATCGCCACCTCGACTCGTCCTTTCCTTCTTATCACCTGTTGCAATCGTGAAATCTAATCAGCCGACATGTTTCTCTTTATCGTCACTTATTATCACCTTTATCGGTGACCAAAAAAAAAAAAATATTCCAAATAAAACGAATTTATATATACAAGTTTTATAATCGAGACGAAACGAAGAATAAATATTGCAAAGGAAAAGAAAATCAAACGGCGCAAAATTCGAACGATCCGTCAACCGTTGAACGAACGGAATACAAACGACCAGGGCAAGCTCGACGGTCGTTTCCAAGAGTAATAAAAAGGGTCATTGTTCGGCAGGAACTACTGTCGCTTCGAGAAGCGTTTCCGCGAAGATTCCGTTTCGCACTCGTCTAACGGAACCGGGAGCATCCTCGACCCATGGAAATTGTCGAACAGTTGAAAAGAATTCAACGATTCAAAATGTCTCGTATAGTTAGAACGAAGAAATTACAGCTCGTAATTTTTCAAACTAAATTTGACGTTTTTGGGTTCGCTAATTATTCCCTCGCTCCCTTCCATTTAGTGTCATTAGTTTCCTGCACGAAGAAATCTGGGAATATCATATCGATTGCAATTTTATTTTTACGTCTGTCGAGAATCCGAACATCGCGTATTCCAATTAGAGAGAAGAAATAATTTAAGGATAAGGATAGCAGTGGATCCATTTCGAATCTATCTCTCGATCGGTTTCGTGAAAGGAAATCCTTCGATTTGAGACCACTAAAGGTTAATTGACGCGATCCTATATACTGGTAATTGGATCAATACTCGTTGCTTGTGTGCATTCGAAGCCCGGAGGGTATCGATGAATCGGCCGAGTTAGATTTGATACGCGTTGCGCGAATAGGCTACCGTTCAATGTTTTCTCAGAGATTCTGGTTTCGCGTAACGGGATCGTATCCACGGAAATTGACAAAATTGTCGAGGATACGGTAACAGCGGGGAATCTTCGTTGCGTAAGAATGTTCCGCGTGTCGGGGGGCAAGAACGGTTTTCGTTTTCAATGATGTTTATAGCTTCGAGTGTTCACCACTTCTCGAAGAATATTTTTCTGGAATTTTATTGTTTGGAATATCCTTTGATATTTTATTATGTGAAAATATCGAATATTCTGGGAAATTCGTGCGATTGTAAATTTTTTCTTTGAATAAAGAAAATTTCTCTTATTTAAATATCTATTGCTCGTTTCTTGAACTCTAGAATCAGTAAAGTAAATTTATAAATTTTATAAAGATACGTGGAATTCATATACAATTTTAAAAGATTATTTTTTCCAAATGATCTTTAAAAAAAAAAGTATGACATGATTAAATATACCAAGCAAAACTGAAAAAAAAAGGTCACAGAATAATTCTCAGAATTAGAATTAAAAATATCAAATTAACCAATAATCCAATTAACCAAACTTACTTTAAAAATCAAATAACATCATAAACTTCATATCTTTAATTTTGAATAACATTTTGAATTGAAAAAAAAAAAAAAAAAAGAAAAAGAACAAGCATTCACCACATATGTGGAGGAATTTCGATACACATTCCGCGTTTGAAGTAACGGAGAACGCATCGAAAATTGAAGAAATGGCCGATAGGATAACTCGCAGGGCAGTTTCGCGTCCATGGAGGAAGATAGCGCGGATAGAAGAAGGTAAAGGAAAAAGAAAAAGAAGCTGGGGTTCCGGGTTCGATTCCCAGGGCTGACTCGAGAAACGCCGCTTCCCTCGACCGATCTAGATTGAGAAGGAACGAAGGCGCCTACCGGCCAGAAACACGAGCTCTGGTAGCAATAAATTATTGTAGCACGAATGATTTCATGGGCAAGGGGTCAAACGAGCCGAACGGAACAACGGCTATTATACGGCAAAGGGGATGATCAAGACGTCGCCTCGAATCGGAAGTTCATCAAGCTTTTTTCATTGTTTCTATCGCGGTATCCGAGGGATTTATGAAGAGGCACGTGTATATGTGTGTGTATGTGTATGTTAGAAATGCATTTCGTGATCCAGAGAGGTTGATCCGATCTTCGAGTTGGGTTTGTTAAGGGCGTGTGTTAAGATTTTGCTCAAGATTCGGCCGCTTGCAGGTGTACCTTTGCGAAATTATAAGTGTACTATGATGGAAGGCGAGAGTTAGACGAAAGGTCTATATACTATAATAAGCGAATTAAAATGTTATTTTTGTTATATTTAATGTAAAGATTTTTAATGATATATATTAATTTGTTACGTTAATTTTAAATGTAACGCAATTGATTTGAAAAGCTAGTTTATCATTTGTTAAATTGATATCTTCTATTTGAAATAACTTTGCATGGAACTTATTATTACAAAAATTAACGAATAAAGAATTTCTCATGGAGATCACCAATTCCATAAAATTACCATTTCTCATTCTCTCTTTTTGAATATCACAACTCGTAAGTTTTTGTTTTCAGAATTTAGCGACGAAAGCACAAAAAGAACGGTCCCTAATCTTCTTTCATTGTCAAATTATTCCTCGAAGGATCTCCTAAACTTGGCATACCAACTTCTCAAATCGCGAAATCATCGTGAGAACCGCGCGAACGACGATAAAAAAGGCAGAATTGTAAGGTCGAAGCTGTTCTTTCGCCAGAAGTCCTTTGTCCGTGTCAAATTATCCGCGACGATGGTGTCACGGATAAAAGCCCACCTCCGTACGGGCAACTTGGGATAATTCGCAATTTACTCCAACTTGTGGTTCCCTTTCTTTCTTATAGTCGCCATTGAGCTTGGAAGCAAAAGAGCGACAGCTCGGTGAACGTGGCCTCTAACATCGAGAGGTCGATCGTAACCCACGATAATCCGGTTGACGCTGCATTACGAATAATGCAACAGTTGCCGTGATTCGACTTCTGGTACCATTGTTTCCCTACTGTGTGCGAACTTTAGGGACCGTCGATGTGTAAAAGAACAAGCCACGCTTCTGTTTTAAATGATTCTTCACGCGGAATCCTATCGTGAAGCAATTTAATATCGTTACTGGCAATGAGTGATTAGAATGAGTAATTGAAGATAAAGATGGTTATTAAATTTATATAAAGGGTAAGAATAATTTTTGTGTCTTTTCTTATTCTTGATACTTCGTTCCGAGGAAATGGAAATAAGTGACATCGATAATTAAAAATTAAAATATAATTAAAAAGAGAGACACAAAAATTATTCTTCGATAATCCAAAGTTGAGGGTAAGCTTATACGATCTATTCCTGCAGCTTGCGTTAGATAGACCTTGGATAAAGAGGGATTTCGCGGTGATTGTAGGTATTCTCTACACAATGATCTGTAACGAGATTAAGCGGATTGAACGTTGTCGTTTAGTTGTATATTGCGGTTCAATTACGGATTACGATTTTTGCAACAGTATTAGCAATCTTTATAAAAGCATCGTGATCATAATTGATGAAATATTATTTTTAGATCTTTTTTAAAAAAAAGAAAAGAAAAAAATTAGCATACGTGATTAGTAACAATGTGTCGATAGGTCACGAAAACTTTGGTATTTTTATTTAAAAATCTTCCAATTTTGCAAGAGTTTTAATTAATTTAAAAAGCTTTATCAATGAATTAATAATCGAATCTTCTACAGTTAAATTGAATTCAATGAAATTGAGTTCATCTAGAAAAGAGAAGAATTCAATTCTGATCAACGCAGTCCAAGGATTACGCGACGCAGCAAGCGTGCCTCGAGAAAAAGGCACTCGTGTTCAACGGTTGGTACACAAACAATTACGTCTAACAACTCGGTATTTAGCAATTTCTGCGGCTTCGTGGCCTAAGTCGAGATTGTTCGTTCTGTTCCCCAGTGTCACTGTCAATGAGACTTCCCATGGAACTCGTGCGTGGCCTCCTTTGCGAATAGAAACGCAACGCCAAAATTGCACGCGAGCTACACCGTACGACCTGTTTTCATCGTATACAATTTATCTTCTCGTTGCGATAATTCTTCCTCAAACACGCGACCGTCTCGTTACAGTCGAACAGACTTGCATCTTCGTTTTAAAATATAATATAAAGCACGAATTTTTATTTGGAAAAGTGTATCAATCGTAAAAATTAACAAAAGGTGCTTTAGGTTTTCGTTTTCGATGAAATTTGATGGTGATGCTAAATTTAAATAATATATATAAAAAAAAAGAAGAAGAAAAAGAAAGAGAGATAAGATATCCTAAATATGAAACAATCATCACGTTGAATTTCACGAAAGCTGTGACATTTGAGACATTCGAACTTACATTCGAATAATCTTCCAAGTCTGTCCAATATCTGCACCAATTAATTACATTCATTCCCGGTGACTTAATCGCGATAGTAATTAACATTCCGACCGGTTTACTGAACTCGAATGTTACCCTTCCACAAAAATAAAGGAATTAAGATTCCTTTCCTGGTTGAAGTTCCAGTTGATTCGCATCGGTTAACCAAAAATCCGCTTGCAAGGGCAAGCTCCACGACATGGAGGCCAGAAAGGATGTTGAGAAACGTGCGGTTACGACGTCTTGCCGGACGAGGATAATGGACGGGAGCAACACGGAGAGGTTTCGAGAGATGCCGGGTAACCGAAGGTGTTCACCTGGCCGCGCTTCTGTTCCTGTTCTGTCCCTCTTCCCGGGTAGCCGATTAAAAAGTTCGAACCACTTGCCGCCAGGATACCTCTCTTGTCGGTGTCTTAACAGCTCATTAACCACGTCCAGACCCCGACTGACCCCAGTTTGCATAAATTATACCTGGCCTAACAGCGCTATTGAGTCCACGACCTTTGAAGGCTTCACCATGGGTAATTCCATAGGAGAAAGTAGATGCCATTAAAGTTATCGATGAGTTCGTGACGTTGGTTGGTATTGTTATATCGTAGTTGGTTGGAAGAAACTTGAGTTTTTGAATTTGTATTCAAAGTTGACGTAATAAATTTGTAATTTACATTGATAAGTAACATTGATAAATTTTGTATCGTTTAAAATATGGATAGAGATACGTTAAAGATGATTTTGGAAAATTCTATTTGGATTATAGAGATTTCAGGAATATTGTATTCAGAAAAGAGAGTTTTTTCTGACTGGTTGTTGATACCGTTATCTTTTTAGTCCTAAGTGGAACAGAAATGAAATCAATTACGCATAGTGAGAAAGAGGTTAATTTCTACGATAATCAAATTAAGATAAAAATCCGCGAAGATGAATCTTACGCGAAAGGCTCGTTAAACTTATCAAAATAGGGTAATTAAGGTATTTCGCACGAGACTGTAAAGGAGCTAAGGTACACCGTTACATTGTTTATATTACAAAATGCGTAATAGATGAAATGCTGCGATGTCGGAAGACGATGAAATGATAAAGCACACGAGAAATTTCCACAAACAGATACGTATGTATCTTAATTTTTGCATGTTAATGAAACGCAAAAAAAAAAAAAAAGAAAAAAAATAAATCATCCAAATCCAAATATTATTATAGATCATTCTATTTCTGCAAATAAAGAAACAAAAGATTCGAGGAGAGTTGTATAAAACGGTTGGAAATAAGTTCTATTAAGGGCAATCGTAGCAAACTTCCGGCTACAGGTTCAGAGATAACGACAATGGAATATTAAGGAGATCGAAATAGATTCGAATGAATGCTCGTTGAATCGAAATCAAAAAATAAAACTATTTCTGTAGCGAAATAGTCGGAAATTTACTGTTATATCGTTCGCCTCGTAAACTTACGAAGAGAGAAACGACGCAATTCGATTGGATAAGGAACAAAATTATGGATGAGGGATGGAACAATCACGCGAACCTCGCTAGGTCAAGAAATCGATTCCCAAATAGGATCTACGATCGTGTTTCGCTGCTATATATCTTTATGCGTTTCCGGTAACTACGCCATGATGTTTCATCGTATGATTATCCCCTGCTGTGATATGTCCTCCGATTGTGGCGTTCGCTCGACTATTGTTCGCTCGTTAATTGCAACTGGTGACTAGAGTCTCCTCGTTCGCACGTTTTATTTTCCAATTATATTATGGTGACACGGTGAAACGTGGATGTAAATGGGTACCTGTATACAGTCAAGATGATATTAGAATCACAAGTATGATTAGTGAAGAAATAACGTGCTATGTCTTCGTAGATTACACGAAGTTATCGTGATCGGTGATGTTATCGAGATGTTGAAGCGATTGAAGCGTTGTGTTGAGATTCTATACATCGATTCCAAGCGTTAATTTTTAGTCGTGTCATCGGACGTGTTGCAAAAATAATTTCAGACTTAATTTTTGAAATAATATATCGAGAATCTTTAAGATTTCGAAAAGCGAAGTCGAATATTCGAACTTTTCAAATCTCGACTCGAAACGAAATTTATCTTCGAGAAATTTACAATCCCCGGTCACGATAGTGGGGATCGCTACAATGAAGCCGTTTAAACCGTGGTGGCTCGTTCCACGAAGATTCAGCATCGATATAAAAGATCGATACCAATTGGTAATTCTTCTCGTGAGAGAGTCGAACCGATTTCATGGCTATTCACTGTCACGGTCCGATCGTCTCTCATTGCCTTTGTTATTCCCTCCGTTGTTAATTGCATTACTGTAGAACGAGGCTCCGGGATGCAAAACTTTCGTGGAAACGTTGCAAAATTTTCCACAAAACTAGAACGAAGATGCATCGCTCTCCCTGCACTCCAACAGTTGCAAAACTCGGCAAGATGCATCGACGGTTGAAGAAGTTATGAAACCGTTTGTAACTGGCATTTCCGGTTGATCCTCAAACCATTCTATTACTCTCTTTTCTTATTATTCGAACAGAGATTCGATGGATATTGAACGTATCGCATATTTATGATCGAAATATCCTTTTTTTCTTTTCTTATTTTTAAGTCATAATATAATACGTAGTTAAAGTAACAATTCGGTTTTACTGTTCTGTTTCATTTCTAACGAAACGTCATTATTTATATTACTTATATATTATTTATATTAGTCGAATGTTGACACGCTTCTGTTCTTGAATCTTAATGTAGGTTAATTAATAAAACAATGATGATGATAAAAAAATGATCGGTTATGAGTTCATATCGTTTGCAACGATATAAAGATTATTATACTTATTATATCGCAGATGGAATTGATTCTCTTCTGATCGTTCGAAGGATTTAAATAGGTAGTATAGACGGTTGACAGATTGCGTAAAAAGATTCGATAAACGCGAAACGTGGTTCTCAGGGACGACCTACAACCTTTCTGTTCGATGCATGAACCCATATGTCCGGTATCGATTCCGTGGATATCGATTGCTTGAATCGATAACGCACCTCCTGTCGTTTATAGTAAATCGTTAATTACAGCTTGATAAACTCGATCTAAGAGCACCGATAAAGGGCGCATGAAAGAGGATATCCTTGATATTATCGAATTTAATTAACGAGTAAACGTAAACACGGAATTATATAAGGAAATTACCGTAACTCGTGGCCCGTAATCCGTGCAAAAAAATTGTAATGCAAAAGAAACGAAAAGAGAGAGAGGGAGAGAGACGTCAGTCGGAGCATGATCGTACTTGAACTTGTTATTTCCAACCGATTTAAGGAAACTCGTTGATCTGAAAAATGGCTACAGTCATTGCGGTTCAAATTTAAAACTCTATTATAGAGAGGATTATTTACCAATAATCGCTGCAATTTGTCCCTCTTTCATTGTTTTTTCACAGACGTCGTTCCATCACCGCCTCCATCATCTCACGCTCCCACACTTCGTAGCCAGTCGACTGTCACGAAGACATTGCGAATTCGTTGATAGCTTCTAACAAGTCATTTCCGCTTGATAACTTGTTTTTTTTTCTCCATAGTCAGAATAATAAGATCGTTCAAATTGAATTAATTATACGAAATCTTAAGATGTCAAAGATTTAAGGATAATTACAAAAATCGGAAAGCAAAAGATCAAATTGATATATCCGATAACAAGTATCTCAAAAAAAAAAAAAAAATGTTAAATTATCAATTCATCAAGATCATCATATATCAAAAATCACATTCAAAGATTACAAACATCAAGACATCTGACTCATCCATTTCAATGCCAAGGAAAATAATAATCCACGAAACGCTCACTTAAATTAATCACGTAATTCGTTCCAACTACCTTGCACGAGAGTATTTCTTTCCACGAGAGTTTATGTCATTCGAAAACGGGAAAAAGAGCCGTATCCCGTAAAGGAATTATGATGTCATCCCGACGGGTCGCCGGGTCTAAGGTCTTCGACACACGCGCGTGACGAGCGCCAACGATTATCATCCCGTCGTCGCTACTCCATGGCGGCCAAGGTTCACGTAACCGCGATTAATTACCTTCCTTCGTCATTCCTTTTTATAAACGAGATCGCTAACAATATCGAGTAAATTAATCGCGCCGCGTCGCATGAAAAATTCCACGAACGTGGCAGAACTCTTGAGAGTAATCCCAAGATATCGAGCCTTTTATTCCTCGTAATACGACTTTAATCGTTCTTATAAAACATCACGCGACGCATCGAGTTTTTAATGAAGCGGCGATCGTGTCATCCGTCGGGTCGTCACGGGTCGAAGGTGTCCCGACGTACGTGCTTTTCAATTAACCTTCTCTGGCCTATCGACGGATCCGATCGCATCCTCGCTCGAACAATCGTGCTCGTAGTGATACTTTCGCTCGTGGGATGATTCTCCGGCGTACACCGTCAATGGATCGTAGTATTTTCTACGTCAGTCAACCGCGTCATAGAGCCATCGACGTTTTTATCCGCTCCTCGCCACCCACCCGCTCTCCGTTGTTATTCCAACGGAGGCTCGCACAGAAGGCTCGGCCGTTACTTAATCCTCTACCGTACTTTGTACGTAATTTCAGCAACAAAATAAAATTGTCACGATTTTTAGACGGGATTAACGGTTGTTATTCCTGTCTCCATTAGAGTCATTAAAAGGCCGAGGTATATCATGCGACAATAAAGGGATCCGGGTTAACAGGAGTTTCTTTCAACCGACGAGGATTGACCAAACAAAAGGCTCGTTCACTCACTGGTAATTCTATGATCCGTCTGAATGAAGACATAGAAATACTTGGCGGTAATTAAAATTACGTTCCAATACGGGAAAGATGCGAAGAGATGCGCTGGGTGGAGGTTCTCTTCTCGGTTCGATACGAAGTTTCCACGAGGCAACGGTACTTGACAACCTTGAACCAATTATGCACGCGAATTATTTCGCAAGCGGTCGCTCAGCCTAGCATTTCGCCTCGCTGCTTTTTCAGCTCCTCGGCTTCTTCGTAAATTTCTGTAACCGCTTCTTATTTCATTCGAACCTCGACGATATTTTTTTTTTTTTACAATGGATGGAGCCGGCTAACTTCGAGATTCGCGCGCATGCGAGGAGAAAAGTTATAGAATGGTTCGCGGAAATGCAAAATCTGATTAGGGAATGAACCGACTGAGATTCCAAGAATGTAAAAAAAAAAGGGGGAATATTAGAGTAAAATAAGCGGTTAAACTGGTCAGCACACGACAATTAACCTGCAACAATCCGTCTATCTAAATCTGGAAAGACCTCTTTAAACTGGTATAACGTTTCTTTCTTCTCACGCTTATATTTCGCACGATCGGATGAAAAAACCTCGTTTGCATCATTTCAATAATTAAAAATTAAGAAACAAAATTGATTGATTTTCGATCAATCAAAAAGATTATCAAGATTAATTTTAATTATTTTTAAAAACAATTCCATCCATTTGGAACAATCTTCGATTCATCCTTAATGGTTTAATAGCTCCCTTCGTCGTTCCAATTTCGATGTCCACCACTTGTTGCTTCCTCCTTTGAATCTCCTCCTCGTCTCCGCATCCGACACCTGACGTATATAACCGCGTTAAACACACATCGTCCCTGTCATAGCCGATATTTGGTTAACTGTACAGGATCGTGATCCTCACAAGTGATCCTTAATTGCTACGAGTATCACGATCTCTTCGTATTCTTCCATCTTTTTTCTACCACTTTATTCAAAGAAACGAGTGACGCCGATGGTCGAGCAACAAGAGACACGCGAATAGTCTCTCTCTCCGCGAGATGACGCGATTTACTTAATTACGAGGAACACCGTTAACACCGTGGTACCGTTCGTCAACTTTCAATGTCGACCAACGCGTGTCCTGCCCTCAGCAAAATTTACGAGGCACGCTTAGAATTTCCTTGCTCCTTCTCATCCTGTCTCTGAAGTCTCTGAGCTGCCTGTGTCTCGATCCTGATACAGTTAGATTTAAGTGTCTCCCGGTTCGGATATACAAAAGAAATCTCCTCTTGTGCGAGTCGAGTCGAAGAAAAAGAAGAACGTTTCGAACTTTCCGCTCTTTCAAAGAAACGCTTCAGCGCGATAACGCCTCGAATGGAAGCTGTTAACCTTAATCTGGCTAATCTTAACAGCGCATACGTGGCACATCCGCAACGTGGACGCGATAATTTTGAGAGATAAAGCGAAACGACGTGGAGATGAATCGCAAGCGAACTTTCGTTCCGTGATTTTTCTCCGACGTCAAGGACGCGCAACATCTTTGAGACGAGACATCTTCAATTTTTCAACTGTGTTTCCTATACGTAAACGTTTGTCGTGTAAATAAGATAAGAAAGTGATGAAGTTTATTTCCATCGCGTTCTTCGAATTTTTATGTCTTAATTTTCCTGTTATTTATTTGACTTAAAGAATATTGATATTTTAAGAGAAACTTGAATAGCGAATAATTCATCGAGTAAAAACTGTAAAACTGAATTGCGATTTAATTAAAATAAATTATATTCATAGTAGTAAATGATATTCATTTTAAATCATCGATGTATAAATAATGTTACACAACTAAATGTATAATACGAATAATGTATTATAGAATATATAATTTGTAATCGTTTAGCAAAATGTTTAAATGGAAAGATATGTTTTTTTAATGTGCCTTTAACTGTACATAAAAGCAAACAAGAACGAAAATTGCTTGTCTATTTCCTTCGTATACGTACAATCAATTATAATTATTTATTTAGATGAACTTTGAGCTAGTTAGTAAATAAAATATTGATACATTGCGTGATAAATGATTATAATTAAAGCGATACGAAGAAAATATATTATACTGCACGTAAATGATTATAATTAAAATCAGTACAAAGATACTATATAATCACACTCGTACCTAAATGATGGTCGATATTAAATCAATCAGAAGAACCTATATAATTTTAATAATTATATAAATAAACAAAATCCAAAACCTATAATTTTAACAAGTGTAATTCTTCCTATTTTCCTCTATTCTAAAAAAATCCTTTAACAATATACCGATAATAAGATAAAATTAAAAATGATGAAACAGAGGATGTAGTACAGTTAAAGTAATATTTCTATTATCATAAAATTAAAATTAAAAAATTTGCAAATTACACGAATTACCCGTAAATACGAAATAGAAAATAAACTTTATTCAAATGAACTTATTCCATTAGCAACTTTTCGCTAAGGTTGGACGAGTTAATTATCCAATAACGACCAGTTTTATCTCCAACCTGTTACCGCGAAAAGTGTCCCGACCTCCTCTACTAAATTCAAGGTTTTCTCGTTCCTAGAAACGTAATTACGCTTTGGAACACCAATGCATTAACAACGATCGAAACTCCGAACTAATCATCTATTAGACATCTATCAGAAGAAAATTAATAAAACCGTTTTACTTTTTTTCTTTTTTTTTTTTTCTAACACCTTTTTTCTAACAAACCTTGACTATTTTTGTAGAAAACAGGAATTTCGTAAAAAATCGCAACTCCCCCATCAAGAATGTTGATCTACGCGTAAATCGCGTTGCGCAACAATCGTAACATCGTTTGTTACGCAACTAGAAATTCACCTTTCGCGTAACTCGTCGTTGACCGTGAAATCGACACACGAGAAGGAAATAATAAAGCCGTGATCGATCGCGATCGAGTAAAGGAAGCCGGATGAAAATCAATCGCTGCTTTTTCTCTTCGTTTAACGAGTGTGTGACGTATCCGTTAATTGCACTGGACTTTTATCAAGCTTAGCTGGGAATGAAACGTTTGTTCGTGAGCAAAAGAACTCGATCGAATAGGATAAAAAGTGTATTGGTGTTCCACTGTACAATTGATTATACGAGTTTCGGTTAAATATTGATTATCGAAAAATAGAATGAGTTGTTTTCTTAAAATTCATATTTATACGTGTATATTTTTAAATATTGTTTTGATAATGAATATGCATTGTTCACCTGGAATGGAAAATAAAATGACAAGACGAATTAAAATTGTTAGAATTTCAAAGTGATTAATAAAAGTAAATGTTTCGTTGTAGATAAATATTATACGCGATCAATCGCAACTATTTTAAGATAAGAAATACAATAGGAATGCAGATATAAATACGATTGATGATTCATTGTGTACAACACTTCGCAATGGAAATTCTACTTCAGCCACGCAACAAAATTCCATATTTTATTTTCTTTTCTTATTTTTCTTGAAAATTTTCTTCCTTGTAAAAACAAAAGTATGCCAAGTATTTATCTCTATTCTTCTTCACCACGACCCGTAATCTCCATTTATCTCTAAAAACAAATATTTGGTATCTACTGGCCTGGAATCATACAATGATAGATTTTTCATCGGCCAGAGTTATAAATTTCGACCAACGCGACACAGATTCCTGTGACGTGGCATTCGATGGCAAGTCGACGCTTCCCATGAAGAATTCGATCGGACACGCCCGTCCCCTCTCCCGTAAAATGCAAGCATCGAGAGTCGATGAGTCGTCTCGTCGTTGACCTAGGCCAACTTGTTTCGAACGGTTGATTAATGAACGTGATTATGCAAAACAGATTGGTATCTCTGTCTCGTCGAACGGAACTTATCTCAGCGACGTATCGCGAGGACATTGCCGCCTCTTAACGCGAATCTTGCTGAAGTATGAACGATTATTATCCCGATGACCAAGGACGTTAGTTTGCAACTGTCTCTTTAAGCAAAGGCGACGCGACTTTCGATGAATTTTAATTATTTCCAAGATAGCTGATGATTTTAGAAAATGTTGAAAATAAGTGAAAATCAATAAGTGATGATTTCGTGTAAAATTTACATAATGCTTTTCTTATGCAAAGAAAGGAGAAAAAGATCATTGAAATAAAAAGAAAGTAAAAATAATTTGCAAAATTGAAAAATTTGTATCGTTGATCTATAATAATACAAAGCAATAAGTGCAAGTAATGAAGCATCAGAAATTTATCTATATGTATGTACAATAGAAAACGACGTGTCACTATCTTATAGAAGATAATCGTGACGTCGCATCGAAATATGAAGCTTAACGAAAAGAGATTAACAAACCATTTGAATGTTCAATAATGATCTTGGATACTTTAACGAATCTAACAAACCTTGACTATGATATTTTTCAATAGATACCAACTGATTTCTTACCATTGATATCTATTGATTCCTTTGTCTTCGCAATCTTCGCGATCCTATCAACGGATATTTAATCCCGTAATTAGTAAGAAAATATTCACTTCCTATTTCACGTCTCTGTTCTATCAATAATTCCTCTTATCTACGTAAATAAATCTTTTTAACGCGACTTCTCAATTTTAAAAACGATTAGCGGTTTCTAAAAAATCGTGAGAGAGTGTAATCGAAGTTTCATTATTATGTCCAAATCTTGTGGTATGGCGACGACACGAGGATAGATTGAGTCGCTTCTTCAGGATGACAATCTCGTTGACGAGCTGTCATTCGACTACTCGTCGTTGGTCTACGAGGACCTGCTTAATCATTGTCACCGGAAGTCGCGTGTCCATGACAGAAACGACTGGATATCTCGATAAATGCAAATAGCCTGTTCAATTTCGTGTTTTCACTGATCCTCCCGCGTCTTCGTGCTCCACGATCGGAGTTTATTCTGAAAATATTGGGTCACCAGTGAGCCAAAAGATGGAAATACGAAGGCGTATCGATTACGTCATCTCCATTGGCTATTCTCGTGCCAAAGAAGACTATAACGAAGAAAATCCGTCGTGGAAAGGTAAGAAGAGTAAAAAGATATTTATCGTGGAACGTGGCTACTCCAAGAAGAACGGTAAATTATCAGAAGAAACGAGAGAACAAGTTAGGAGAGAGTAAATAAGAAAGAACATGATAAAATTCTCTGGATATTTTTGTTCTAATTGATCTCGACTCTTATCTTGATATATAATTACAGCTTATTAATTATGAAATAAGAAATTATTACATGTTATTGATGGAACGATTGAATGACTTGTAATTTATTTCCAAAAATTATAAAAACGTTCATGCAAAAAAGTCTATTATACATTTTATGCATTCCATCGAAAGGGTATTCAATTTTAATGGAATCTCAAATAAGACTAAATTCTATTTCAAGCAAGAGACATGAAATAGAGACGGTTCAAAGGTTTCTTCTTCGACACCTTCCCCTTCGACACACCCTTCAAAATCATATGATATTACACGATGGTAAACACACGCTTGCGCCCAACTAAATACGAAGTCGACAATCTCGGCGGGAGATCTCGGAGGAAAATCGACGAAGGAGGAGGAAACGAAGGAGCAGGTGAGAAAGAGCGTGGACGAGGAACGAAAGCGCGGGCAGGAACCACGAAAGACAAGGATCAGGAGGAGAGGTCGGGTTTGCGATGGAACGGGAAGAGGCGAACAAGGAAGCCATCGTGGGGAGACCGAGGAAGAAAGAATTGAACAAGAACGGTAAGGAGCAAGGAGTCACACGGTGTTCCATAGGCATAGCGGATCCGGCGTAGCGGTAGATACTTTCAGATAATACTCTCATTTACATAGGTAGGTGCATAAATGAAAAGCAATGCGATGCATCGTGGCGCGCATATGGCGTACGAATTATACATATCTGGGTAAGTGGATGCAAGTATCTTCGTGATGCGAGATTTGCGAGCATAACGACGATTATTTTCGATATACGTGTTTCGCTAATAAATGCGTTTCTCTAAATAAATTTAAACGAATAATTGCTTACACTGGATTACCTCGTTGACGCGAACGGTTTATATATAGTTGATAAGAAAGTTACTATTCTGCTTAATTAAAATTTTCTAACTGATATTTGCTACGTCTACGTGCGTTCAGATTAATCGATTATTTACTTAATTAGGATATCTCGTAGATCTCATAAAGATCATTACAAGAGAGAAACTTAGAAAGAATCGAAGAAATATGTGCTATTTCTAAGAATCTTCAAACTTTTCAAATTGCGAATTTGATGTTAAAAATTATAATTGATTAAGCAAAATAACAATGATAACAGATTAAAATTCTCCGTTGTCGATATCACGATCATCGAAATCATTGCAAAAACGGTAAGTAAACTTTGCTCGCATACCAATATTGTTTTGCTATATTCGAGTTTATATTCAATTTCTTCGACGTTTATACTCAAGTTTTTCTTCGAGGTTGATTATTACCTCCCTGTTTCCTTTCACAAGGGAGTTCAAGTTGAGACTTGCTTTATTTTCACCGCATATCTCTCGTAACGATTTCCTCCTCTGGGAAGAAGCTTCAATTTTCCATAAAAAGAACAATTATTTCGACGATTTGCATAATTTCACTCGACAGCATCAATGTCTCTTTACCATAATGATAGCCGCGCAACCTTTGATCAAGAAAACGTTATGACTTATCGAACATGCG